CCAATACAACCTGCAGAAATCATGCACAATCCCACGTTGAATTCCAGGTCAGCGCCGTTTTGAGAACAACTTCCCGGCGGCCAGCCTTTTTGAAATTCAGGTCCTCCTTTCTTTCGCACTCGGCCTAGACCATTCATCTCCTAGGGGCGTGGACGGCTCGGCGTCTAAATATAAGGAAAGTGGAAGCGTCTGATGGATTTCTGACATTCATGATCGAATTCCGACTTTAGAATTGATAATAAGCGTGAACAGGACTCGGAGAATCTATTTTATCTATCGAGGTATGACAATACGATTATGTTGGCCCGAAGTTCACTTGAGATCTTGACACAGCGATCCGTGGAGCCTGATCGGGGGAGGTGCGCGATCAAGATTCAAAATCGAGATCCACGGAACTAAATAAGAGGTACCCAGACTTACAGTGACCGCGATTTCTGCACTTTAATCAGAATCTGACACTGATGGTCTGTAAGTACAACGGCGTTGATGGGACGACACCGAATTGCAATTAAATCTTTCATCTCTTCAATTTCAACTCCTTCTCGTTCGGCGATGAATAACTCTTCCCTATGGACGTTCCTCGGCATTTCTTAGGGGACTTCTATCGGGCCCGTGACCTCAGACTGAGCCCCTCTACGCTATTGCTTACACATCGCAACTCGGCGTTGCTGACTGATTGCTGAACTTTCAGATCTCAGAAATCGCAAGGTCAACCGTCACAAATTGACGAAATAATATCGATTGACAGAATCGCAATAATCGGTTGGAACGTCCCGATAAATCGGCTTCTCGCCTCCTCGACCGATATATCAACAGTGAGAACCTGCGTAATGACAGTGCCAATCACACAATAATACGCATAGTGAGCCGTTGCGATTTCTAGAATCCACCTAACAGGCCCCCTCCATTCGTGCAAACAGATGCGTAGGATTTCCATCGCTCTAGGGACCCCGGATCTTGGCGATCGAGGAGACGGAGCCAGATACGATGATCTGCGGCAGGTGATCGACGGAGGTATATTTAACGCGTAAGCAGAACCAAATTGAACACACTGAAGTCATTCTGTGTTCCTTCACGCGATGTCCACTCCATCTGCGCTTCTTCTCTTCGAGCTTTTCAACTGGGTGAGCACGCAGCCTTGCCTCGAGAACTACACGAAGTTTAATCGGGGGCGTGTGAGGCTGAGCTTTTCTGCTATCTGCAGCAAGGTCCGGCTGGAGAAGTTCTGCATCTTGGGAATGACGATGTAGTTTTGCCTCTGGCTCAGTGCAGTACTATATTTATCCTGACTTATCCTATTGATGCATTCGAAGTTTGGAGTCTCGGAGAAGGTCATACACCATCGGTACTATGATCTCCGGTCAAGGGGCTGTCGAGATAAGAATTTGCTATATGGGGTAGAGGGTGGCTCGAAAAAAAATAATCGAGGTGGTCTTGTCAATTATCTCCAGTTTTGCACCCTGAAGGCATCTGAAGTCGTCCTTGTGTCTGGAAGTGATGTTCAGGAGGAGGAGGGTGTCTAATTCAAGTATTACTATGGAAGTCTGCCAGAGGTCCCTATAAAAAAAAAGAAACAGTACCGCAGCGGGAACTTCCGAACTCATCAAATCTAAATTTTCCGCATACATTGGGTTTGTATGCATGTAGAGGCTGGAAGCATGAGGGTAGTACTTTCTGCAAAATGGGCATAAATTATTAAATACAAGGATTTTTTGATGTCACGCGGGTGGGAATTTTCGCAAATCGGTAGCCCCTTGTCTCTGGTCTGAGTTTACAGGTATGCTTTCTCTTTTAGCAAACAAGATTTCATTGTGCCCGAGTTGCGAATCCAAACTGGAAAGCACTGGCTAAAGTTTGGCTTCATGAATTTCAGTGGCCTCACAAACTTCGACTGGGGAAACGACTGAGAATCCTTTTTTAACCAAAGCGCGGCACTGCCACAGGTATAGCCGAAACACTCTCATCTCTGGTCCTGTATCAGTACTGACGTGAGCTCGATTGCTGGAGTCCCTACTTGGTCATGAAACCTGTTGAAAACGCACCTCCCAACGAATGTTCAACATACTAGTAGCAACCCGCTTTCAAAGTTCGTGGGTCACGGCATTAGTGGCAGGCGCACTGTCGGCGCCTTTGATTCAGGCTTGGATCCAGGATCCAACAGTGCGCGACAGTCGAGAGTCAACCGATACAGTCCCGAGATTATGCTACCGCTATCGCGACGCCAGGGCATCCGTCTGTCACGCACCTCCTCATGGAGAACTCGATGCCACCGTGCGCTGGCATTCCGTGAAATCAATCAGCTAGCAACGCGACTGTCCGCCACCGTGACTACGCCCTGGGCCTGGTGGTCCAATTGGCCAGCCTCCGTGCACCCCGGCCTGTCTTCGATCAAGCTTTTAGTCGCCCCCCGTTTCGAGGCACCAGAAGACAGCACACGCTAGTGAGAAGTCGAAGTGACAGCTGCACAGTGCGTCAGGCTGCCGTAACGATTGAATGCGTGAGGTCCGGTGTTCATACGTGCAACGGAGGCACGATCGCGATACGAGGATGCCGGACCCCGGTGAGTAACATGATGATTCAGACAATGGCGCCTCGTTTGCCGAGGGCCCTGGTGGCGGTCCAACGCGACTAACTGGACTTCGGACGCGGACACTGACTGACAGTGGCGGGGGCCCGACGCCGCTGTCTGTAAGCCGAACACTGTGGATGAATGAACATTACCTTCTCGTCGCGTAGGCAGCTTTTGGGGGTAAATAAGAGTAAGGTCGCCGGGCGGCCGTGAATATTTGATTGTTAAAATTATCTGGCTGACAGATCTGGAGCAAGCAGAGAAATACAACAGTTGTTTGGAGGCGCGGAACCGGAGCCAAAACTTTGATAGCGACCACCTATGCGGACGCGGGGAATCGAACCCCATCGGCTACTGAAATTTGTCCAGATGAGTGCCGCCTATTCAGTGCAGCTGTGTGCCATACACCACATCCACTTCCTTTTTGTTATCTAATATTATGTTCAATTAGTGAGTATTCCCAGGTAAACGTTGACTTCGATGGATCCCGAGAAAAAATAAGACCGTCCAGATAGCTGCATCCACAGCTAACCGATGTTTTATCGAGTCTACCGGTGCGCCCACCAGTCACGTCCAAGAACACGAATGAAAAAGAAAAAGAAAAAAGAAAAGCATGGCGTCGAACCCCATCAACTGCTAATTCAATGTGGCAAGTCTTACTGATTGTACGCAGCGGTGCACCGTGCACCACGTCCGCTTCCCCCCTCTACTCTCCTGCTAAACATCTGCGAGATATCCCGTCAAAATTGAACCATAAGAGATAAAAACAACAATCGTTGCCCACATGCGGACGTGGGGAATCGAACCCCTCCAACTGCTCGCTATATATAGTCGAGAGTAAACTCTTTGTGGGTCGCAGCTGTGCACCGTGCACTATGTCGGCTTCCTCCCCTCCCTTCACTTCACTGCTGAATATATGCGAGGTTTTTTATTTGGATTTGAACGAAGAAAAAGAAGAGGATTATTCTACTGAGGAACCCGGCTTTCAAAAGAAACCCCCCTTCTTTGGGAAATCCTTCAAAACATCTATTTGAAAGCCCCTCCGCCGTCGCCGCAGGATGGCCGGATGAAGCGTCGGAGTTTGAAACTCGGTCAATGGCCAGCCAAAGTTGGCCATCGCACATACCGCGATTTCATTTTCACAGAATGGCTAGCTCGATGCATCCAACCGAAAAGACCCCCGAGGCCACAACTGTTACCTTCAAGAAGCTCTATACAGACCTCTCTGTCTTTGTGATGCTGGCAGTACAGCTACAAGTTTGGGGGAATACTGTACCGTTTGACCGAATGTTCAGGTGACGGATGACAGAGAGTCGTGAAGTGAACAATTTCGGCATAGGTGATGGTGACGGCGAAATTTTGAGGCCCAAATAGGCTTCTGCTCCCAAAACATCCTGGGTTGGCAGGACCTACAAATGTGCACTGTGTCGGCAGGAGGGTCACAAGCGCTCAAAATGTCCTCTCCAGTTGTAGATTACTGTGTTGAGATTAAAATATCATTGTGCCCCGCTGTTCAATTGTGAACAATGACCTGAGCTATTCAACTTATAAGTTCACAAAATCTGATCAGGATCATCCAGTTAAGGAATTCTAACTACGGTGAGGGGCCTTAGATGTTATAAATATTTGTTTAGCTGCTGAAAATCCTGCCCCCAAGTGCTTGTTGGCATTGCTTGAATGTCGTGAAAAGTTAGCATGACAGTCATGTGACCGTGTGCCGAAGTGCCGAGTTGCCGAGTCCCCGCACTTGGCACCCGCCTTGCACCGACCGCCGGTGAGAGAAACCCTTGGAATTCGGGTTTCCAAATAACACAATTTTTTTGGCAGGGGTTTCCATTAAAAGCCGGGTTCCTCAGTAGAATAATCCAAAAGAAGAGGCAAGCCAACGCGGTATATGCGGACGCGGGGAGTCGAACCCCGATTAGCTGCTGACATGGAGCCACCCTGTTACTGGTCGCAGGTGTGCACCGTGTACCACGTCCGCGTTCATGTCCTCCCTTCGCTGCTCAATAAAATGGGACTTTGTCTAGTCGGGCTTTGCAGTAAAAAAGTCTTGAGACAATGGAAGGCGGACGCGGCCGGCAACCGCTGCTGCTATTCAAACAACAGCGTACTGGCCGCAGGTGTGCACGGTGTCCCACGTCCGCTTTCTTTCCCTGCATCCACGGTCAAATATATCCGACGTTTTTATGTGGATTTGAACGAAGAAATAGAAAAGGCAAACCAAAACGGCACATGCGGCGGACGCGGGGAGTCGAACCCCATTAACTGCTTTACATCTTTTTTGTTTACTTGACGGATGGCTGGATGCAGTGGTGCGCCTTGCACCACGTCCACTTTCATTCCTTCACACCCTCCACTGCAAAATAGAGGAGACTTCAAGGTTTCTCCAGCCAGGTTCTTGAAAAAAAAAAATTGATACCCACTCACAGGCGGACGCGGGGAGTCGAACCCCGTTCAACTGCTTTAAATCTCATCTTTACGGCGTGCTAATTGTACGCAGCGGTGCGCCGTGCACCACGTCCGCTTCCTCCCCTCCCTTGACTGCCGAATAAATGGGACTCTGTTTTACCCATCCGGGTACCAACCATGAAAAAGGAAGTGTTCCTCACATGCGGACGCGGGGAGTCGAACCCCGTTCAACTGCTTTAAATCTCATCTTTACGGCGTGCTAATTGTACGCAGCGGTGCGCCGTGCACCACGTCCGCTTCCTCCCCTCCTTGACTGCTGAATAAATGGGACTCTGTTTTACCCATCCGGGTACCAACCATGAAAATGGAAGCCTTCCTCACATGCGGACGCGGGGAGTCGAACCCCGATTAGCTGCTGGCATGCAGCTACCGTATTACTGGCCGCAGCTGTGCGCCGTGCACCACGTCCGCTTCCTCTCCTCCCTTCACTGCTGAATAAAATGGGACTTTGTCCAGTCGGGCTTTACACTAAAAAAAGTCTCGAGACAAAGGAAGGCGGACGCGGGGAGTCGAACCCCATCGGGTACCTGCCTGCTTTTGACTGTGTACCGTTTATGGGCCGCAGGTGTGCGCCGTGCACCACGTCCGCTTCCTCCCTCTCTCCACTGCAAAATAAACGGGGCTCCAGCCGGGCCCGCAAAAAAAGTTGCAACTGCTCCTCAGAGGCGGACGCGGGGAGTCGAACCCCGTCAACTGCGTTGAATTATCACGGACTACATGATTGGATGCAGCGGTGCACCGTGCACCACGTCCGCGTTCATGTCCTCCCTCACGCTCCACTGCTGAATAAAATGGGACTTTGTCCAGTCGGGCCGTGCAGTAAAAAAGTCTGGAGACAACGGAAGGCGGACGCGGCTGCTACTGCTATTCAAGCAACGGTGTACTGTGCACGGTGTCCCACGTCCGCTTTCGTTCCCTGCATCCACGGTCAAATATATCCGACGTTTTTATGTGGATTTGAATGAAGAAAAAGAAAAGGCAAGACAAAAGGGCCATGCGGACGCGGGGAGTCGAACCCCATCAACTGCTGCCATCAACTTTACCCACTTCGAACTTGTACGCAGCGGTGCACCGTGCACTACGTCCGCTCCTCCTCTTCTCCTCTCCTCTCATCTAGTATGCAGTGGTCGGAGAAATGCGGGCGCTTTATTTACCAGAGGTGCGCGAATCTGATTTGGGTTTCGAGTGGGGCGAATAGTGCGCCTGGTCGCTAGCTATATAGGTTGGTGGGTAGGGTTGGCGGTCGACTAAAAGGCTATCACGCGCTAGATGTTCGAACTTGGGCACGCGGGGGACATCCGACCGACAGGCGAACTGTTGATGGGATTGGATGCGCAGACGACGGTTACTCACCTTGACTCAATTTACTTCACGCCTTGACTTGATTTTCTTTCGTTCAGTCGCCACGCTCGGCTCCTCGGGCGCAGGTGGAATATTCTGTGAAGCCTACCACGCGACGAATGCAGTGCATTTAATTGTACGTCGATGCGATGAGTCCCCGGCGCCCGGCGCCACACGAAGAACGGCTTGGAATTCGGAAGGTTGTCGCGTGGAGAAGAATGTGAAGAAGGAATGAGCATAACGTGGAGAAGTCACAAGCATGACGAGTAACGAGAGCAACGTGAAGAACGCCAGGGATTCGCAGGAGGCTAATAGGTTGATTAGGCTTTGTGCGTGCAGAGTGTGCGTAGGCAATTGAGGGCAAAGCGAGACAGTTGCTTACAGGAGGCCCGATGTTGTGTAGTATGTCATTCCAGTGAGCCGCAGTACATTGAAAGCAGCGCGGCGCACACAGATCGCTGGTGCCGGCATGCGGCGACCTAGCAAGGGGCCGGGGGCTCTCCCGCGAAGTGGGGTGGAGGGAAAAGAGTTTTAAGCTCAAGGAAGGGGTCGTTGCTAGAAAGGCGTTGGGAAGCAGAAGGCGCCGCTGCTCGGGTCGCGGGGAGTTGATTACGCACTGGGTGGCCGGTGGGGGACGGGTGGGGGGCGGCGGGAGAGGTGAGGGGCGACGGCGGGGCCCGGGTGGAGAATAAGCGGTGAATGGGATGAATGGCAGGCATTGTCGGGGGCGGTGACGTCGCGTCTGGGCAGCCGCGGATCAGGGTGAGTGGATTGATATGGAAATATCCAATTAGGCTCCTCGGTCGCCCGATCGGGCGCCGACGAAAACAGAGCCAAGCGACTTGCAAGGCACAACACAAGCCCATTCAAATCCGACCCTATTTCAGTCAGCTTTCAGTCATCAACCTGGCTCTTGTCTCTTGTCGTCCCCGTCTCTTGTCCTCGCGTCTTTCGCCATGTCGTACGTCCAGCCGTACCCCGACATCCACTTCCCCTACCCGCTCAAGCCCGCCCCCTACCCCGACCAGTACTGGGGCTACGACCAGCCCTTCGCCTCCTACCCCGCACCCGCCGACCCCCAACCCCCCCGCATCACTCTCGCCGGCTCCCTCGACCCCGCAACCGGCATCTTCTACCGCACCCCCGAGCACCCCCGCCTCCGCACCGCCCAGGCCTGCGAAAAATGCCGCACCCGCAAGGCAAAGGTGTGTCTTTCCCCCTCCTTTCCTCCCCCGCCAAACGCTAATTCACCCACAGTGCAGCGGCGACCACCCCGCCTGCTCGCGCTGCCTCGCCCGCGGCCTCGTCTGTGAATACGCCAAAGAAGGCCGCGTGCGCGGGCCCAACAAGCCCAAGACGCCCCTCGCAGCGCCCGCGTCCCTCCCGCCGTCCCCACATGCCCGCGACTTCCCCGCGCCCGACAAGTCCGCGCCCCGCCGCCGCCGCAACACCACCCTCGCGCCCCCGCCCCCGCGCAGCAATGCACAGGTCAAGCCCGAGCCGCTGTCGTCGTGCGTGCCGCTCGCGCTGAGCGGGAGCGGCAGCGGCGGGAGCTTGAAGCGGTTGTCGCTGCCTGCGACGTTGGATGCGGGGCCATACGACGGGGGTGAGGGGGGCTTTGGTGGGGGCGGCGGTGGGGGCTTCAACGGCGGCTTCGAGGGCGGCGGCTACCTTCCCTACCCCCCGCCCCTTCAGCACCACCACGCACACACCCACCACCCGATGCCCGCGCTCTCGACCCTCGCGCTCTTCGAGGGCGCCCCCGACCCGTACGCCGCGCCGTACAGCCCTGCGTCGTACCATGCTCCAGGGGGATTCGACAGTCCGCATGGGAGCCAGTACGGGGGGCAGTACGAGCACGCGCAGTACGACAGCCCGCACGGGAGCCAGTACGAGCACGCGCAGTACGACAGCCCGCACGGGAGCCAGTACGAGCACCGCGGCGCATACGACAGCGGTGGGTTCGACAGCCCGCGCGCGGGGAGCGAGAGCGAGTCGTCCCGCGGCTCGTCTGCGTGAGTGTTCTTCTTTTCCTCCTTCTTGCTCGCGTTCTTCTTGCCTCGGGGTCCATTGCCTTCGGGGCGGGACTGCATCGCGTTTTACGCCGAGTGCATTTCCGCCTCGCTGCGTCTTGGGGATGCGAAAGTGTCCGCCCGACGCGCATCTCAGCGCCCCAGCTTGCCTTCTCGTTCTGACCGTCACCGTCTTGCGAGCCCCGCGCTGACTTGAATGTATGCACAGCCCGCAGAGCGCCGTGTCGTCGACCTTCCCGCCGTACGTCCACGGGCACGGGTTCCCGCCCCCGCCGCCGCACGGGTACTCGCCGCCGCCGCATCCGATGCAGGGGTACTCGCCGCCGCCGCATCCGATGCACGGCTACACGCCGTCGCCGCCGCACCCGGGGTACGCGACCCCGCCGCTGCCGCCCCACGGGATGTACGAGCCGCCGCCGCCCCCGCAGCACGCGCACCCGATGCAGGGATACGCCACGCCGCCGCACGCATTCGACCCCGCCCTCGAGCATCCGCATCCGCACGCGCACGCGCACGCATTCGACCCCGCGGCGCACGCGATGGACTTTGAGCAGCACGCGCTCGTCGCCGCGACGCAGGCGCAGCTCGACACGTACATCGACAGCGCGGTCGCCGCGGCGCTGTCCTCGTCCGCGTCCGCGTCCGCGTCGCCGTACGCCCTCGAGCTGGCGTACCCGCCGACGCCGGGTTCGCTTTCGCATACGCATTCGCGCGTGGGCTCGGCGGGGTCCTTGTCGAGGCCGCAGAGTGCCGGGGGAGGAGGGCAGGGCTCGGGGAGAGGGCAGGCAGGGGGGCAGGGAGGGCAGCAAGGAGGAGGAGGGGGCGCGCTGCGCGGGTGGCAGGAGCCGGGGCCGGGGCCAGGGCCGGACGCGCTTGGGGTGCCGGTGGCGTTTTGAGGCTCCCTCCCCGCGGCGCGGGGGGTGGGGCGGGGCGGGGTGGGGCGTGTGGAGGGGAGGGCACAGTGCAGCTACCCCCCTATCCCCGCCGGTCGTTTCGTTCCGCAAGCTATCAAGTTCTATCCCGTCATTTTATGAGTACTGGTCTTTCCTTCCTTCGTTTGGTTTTTTGGTGGCGGCTTTTTGGGCAGGGGCGTGGCGGGCAGGGGGTAATGGGTGGGTGGGGGAGGGGGGAGTGTATTATATGAGATCGATTGTAGCTGAGCTGGTGGTAGGGTAGGAGCGCCGGGGCGTTGGCAGAATAAAATGTATGATACGCGAAGTGGCTGCTGGTGGGGCGCGGTGGAGTCAGCAGGTAGGCAGGCAAGTAGGCATTTAGGCGAAGTTGGCGCAAGCTTGGAGGAGAGGAAGGGTGTGATGTTTTCGGAGGTTCCTTCGGCCGCGGGCTGCGGATCAGCGAGATCAAGGATGGGATCAATGGCTGGTGATGGGATTGGGATAAGATAATATTGGCGTGGTTGAACTTGGAGTTCAAATCGCGCTCCGAGTCGGTGTGTTGGATAATTATTTAGACCGTAGCCCGTCGAGCCACAGGTAAATATTTAAATACACTCACGCTGTCCTCATGGTTTCAACATTTCTTGGTGAGATCCGCCAACGTGCAGGAAAATAATTTATTGTGTATGGCCAATGTGATATGTAAGTAGCCGTGGGAGGAGAGGGACAAGCCGACGTGGTGTACGGCGCACACCTGCGATAAGTAGAAGGTTCGAGTCTCGACTATTAGAGCAGTTGGAGGGGTTCGACTCCCCGCGTCCGCTTAGCTTTGGCATTTTCATGTTTTTATCTTGTGACTCTGCGTGGAACTTACAGCATATTCATTTGAGTATGAGGGAGAAGGGCAGCGGACGTGGTGTATGGCACGCTACTGCCGTCAATCATGTATGATGAACTGAACAATAAGTCAGCAGTTGAACGGGGTTCGACTCCCCGCGTTCGCCTTCCTGGAGACGTATGATGTTTTTTTTTTTGCGACAACGGCCGCAGCTAAAATAAAGAAGGTTCGATTGAGGATTGTATAGAGTAAAGGAAGCGGACGTGGATAAGTCAGGATAAATATATGATACTCGGCTATGTCCCCTTTCGGAACGTGGTACACCTGCCGTAGTTGAACCGAGCGTTGAAGAGTTCTAGTGAGGTGCTTTTTGCAGCGATTTTGAAATTAAAAACGCCCCTCAAGGTGCCGCGCTCGGTGAAAGATCATGCCCGAGCGTGAAAGGAGGTGCATGACACATCACCTTCTAGCGCGTTAGCGGTCGTCGAATTACGCACTCGTGCACCCAAACGCGGTTCCCTGGTGTTCGTGTATACAACGGGGACCTTGTGCGGCGCCGCGTGAAGGGTGCAATAATTTCACGCGCGCCACAGAGGCATGTAATATTCTCTGCGTTCCAAGTCACGGCAAATTCCGGTTTGACGGAGACGGGCCTAGACGGGCCTGTTTATGGCTATGTACATCGTACACAGCCCCAGTCTACAATCACATGGAACGCAGTGATTGTGTGCCAGATTTGCCAATTAATTCGTCGGACTCCGAGGGACGCGGGATGCGAGGTAGGTACTGTAGCCCTGAGATGTGATGCGTGCACAGCGATACTATTCGTCGATCCGATGGCGTGAAAACATGCCTCCGTAGATCGGCGGTACCGATCATCGTATCTGGTTCCGTCTCGAGTTGATGATCTCTCTGATCTACTGGGCGCTGCATGCGTCAGAGCACAGGGGAGCATACTGGATGTTCGTTTGGAAAATGGAAAGGGTGGAGTGGAATGTCATCTTTATGACTTGATTCTAGAATTCGCAATCTAGCGAATGGCCATTCGCCGATCAAGCGGGGCGATTTAATTGTTCGATCAGGCAGAAATTCGTCATGGAAATCTTGGTAAAGCTCAGCAGGTAACGTTCACAATAATACACCTCGGGATCCTCAGCTTGTGCCATGGGGACCTCAACACATGTCTTGTACGAAAGACCCGGAATTGAAATGCTGTCAGCGTAAAGGATGCCTGGTCTGAATGGCCGGGCCCCGGGTTGGACATCGAAGAGCGAGTCCATATGATAATAATGGAACGGTAAAATGAACTGTGTAGAAACCACCCTAAAAAATAAGGGTTAATGCAATACAATATTTTGTGCTGCATCGTACTACATTGGCTCATTACTGCATTGCTTGCGGCTTTGCACAGGTACAATTCCAGGGCCGTCCACATGAAGAGTGATCCAGGGCCACCACCCCACAATGACTGTAATTTTACGATCTTTCGATCTTTCAAAGTTCCATCGATCGCGATATCGCCGTCGACGTCACCGTCCCGCGCCCCTGTACCTGTTTCTTACTTGAAGAGTCCACTGAATTATCGTCTTCGAAAGAGAACAAGGCCACCCCCCGAACCCAGAATCCATGACAGGATATAAATCCAGAAGAATGATATATATTGATCAATTGGATCGTGTATTACACGAATTCAACATTCAGGTTTGTCTGGATTTGGATTACTGTATGTATGAACGCAGACCTGGATGCGTACAAGTAGAATACGATGCGCGCTGGAGGAGCATAGCGGGCACGGAAGATGGAAAGGAGGTGAATCGAATTTGATTTGAGGTAGGGGTGCGACTGAGTTGCCAAGACTTTGAGACCTTGTGTTGTTGATTCAGACATGTTTGGTATTTGTAAGTGGTCCAGTCCAGCAACGTAGTCTCATGCCATCCCTGTAAGGGCTTGAAGAGACTCTCAGCAAATTGATGTTATCTTGGAGCGATGCCACTGAACCATTTCAACAGCGTCTGTACTGGAGGCGGCTTGAGAGTGATCACATGCAAATCTCTAACTCGCTCGGCTAGCAGCTTTGATCTGGACGTGCACGTCGCCGGCGCGGCTCTCCCGGTGGATCCTCACGAGCCCACCGCTCAGGTCAGCACATCTTCCTGTCACTTTTCCGCATCAATCTCAACGGAGTAACGCAGCTCTTTATCATCCGGCGAAACGAGTAGCGTCCCCGACGACGCGCAGCGCGGCACGGACGCTGCGTGGCAGACCTGGATCAAGAATGGGTTCGCGTCGGTCGCGCACCCGATTGGCACTGCTGCGATGATGAAGCGCTCGCTCGGAGGTGTGTTTCCACAAGCTACCCAAGCTTTTGCTCACACTGTTTGTACAATACAGGTGTGGTTGACGCCCAACTCAAAGTCTACGATACCTCCAACGTTCGCGTTGTCGATGCCTCGATTATGCCTCTACAGGACGTGGCCTCGTCGCTGGTGTGGCAGAGAAGGCGGCAGATTTAATAAAGGCTGCACAGTAGGTGGCTAAGCTCGACGAACCTAGTGGACATTTTCGGACTGAGATCTGAATGTACTGATATTTTGTATAATTAATGGTGCTTCTAGTTCTATATGGATGTCGCAAGTGTCGTGTCAGCCGCCCGAGCAAGGAATGACATATCAAGCTTAGAAATTTCCTACACAAGACTGAGATCAAGGAACACACATGGGGAGTGGCGTATCACCACTGAACCGCACAATAAGCACAGGCTTCTCTTCCGCGGTTCAAACATAAGTAAGTGAACGCCTGAGGGCCTGACGATACATCTTTTCCCTTGAATCACGTCTCCTTGAGCGCACTAATGACGAATCCCTCGCCGCTTGAGATTGTACAGGCCTTCTTCTCATTCGCGGAGACTCGTGACATCGATGGAATGGAGCACATTCTGTCCGATGACTTCACCCATCGCATCCTCCCAGAATCAATTGGGCTGCCTACCATAAACAAGGAGCAGTTTTTATCAGCAGCCAAGAAGACGGCCTCGACCATGGAGTCCTTCCACGTTGGTTTTTGAGAACTTCTAATGCTTGGATGATGCTGACCATATCCATGGTGCACAGTTTCAAACGCCACAAGAAGTTATTGAAGGTTCTGACTCGGTCGTCGTCCACGTTAGTGCCCCCCGCTGCATATCCTCCATGATTAATCGACTTGGATTAGACCCGAAGTGACGGGAAGATCAAGAATGGAGATCCATATCACAACGAATACATCTTCATTTTCCGTTTCGACGCTGGACAGATCTCAAGCTTAAAAGAGTTCGTTGATTCCAAGCTTTTCGACGCTCTGTTAGCTTTGGGAGGCAATTGAGAATAAAGGACAGCTTATCTGGCCCTGGCAATGGCCTACCCCAATATGTAGATAGCATTCCTGCCGTTAAGACGATCCCGGCCGCAGTATACTGTGGGGTGGAACTTGAGTTTGAACAATCAAGCGTGGACGTCGGAACGAGAAGCCTTGTGAACCACAGCGAGCGCAAACACTGCGTTCAGCTGGGGCCTAGACACGAGTTGATCTAGGAGGAGAATGAAGACCGATCTATGTGTGTATGTGCAGGCCGCCTCGACACCGCTTAGATCCACCCTTGCCGTGAAAGACGGAGGCTTGCCGAGGTCACCTTTCGTTGTTGCGTGTACCATTAATGTCCTGTGACATAACCTTTCTGTCCTGGAGTATCCTTTTGTGTCACCTCTGACAGGCCCTCTTGTCAACCCGAGTTCCTGTTTATGTCCCCCGATCATAACTTTTATGTCCCCCAGAATACGTATTATGGCCCCATTTCCAAACTATATCTGTCATTTTGACAACAATATTATGTCCATCAGTTATCATCTTTCGGCCCACCCATGCTCACTTTCTGGTCCTCTCACTAACAGCTTTCTGTCTTCGCGACATCACCTTGTTGTCTTGGCATCAACCCCTTTTGGTCCGGCCATCAACCCCTTTTGGTCCGGCCATCAGATCTTTTTGGTCCAGCCGCCCAACCTTTTGGGTCCAGACTTTATGTATCTCCACAACCACTGGGCCGATTTCCTTGAACTTCAGGAGGATTATGATCGTACAGATCAGTATTGTTCAGAAAAAATAGAGGAATGGTCAATATTGCAGTATTTCCTTCAATACTGTAAATACTTGAACCGAGGCAACCGGCCAACCCACCGTGACATGGGCAACGGGTTTGGGCAACGCAACCACCCGTATTTTCACCGTGACCATTCAAATTTCGGCAACCAACAACATTGAACCTGGCCCTAATTCTGCCTCAAAATGGGGTTTGAACAGCTCCTTCTGAACAGAAACAATGGAAGAAGGAGTACAGTGATTTTTCGTGGTTTTCAAAGTGGGATTTTGGACCAATATATATATATATTCAGGATGTCACGGTGTCGAGCAAGGCAACCAACCCCGTCGTGACCGTGACTGGAGGAGGTTTGGGCAACGCCACCAGCCCCTTCGTGACCGTGATGGTTGCCTCGGTTCAAGTATTTACAGTATTGGCCCTTTCTCTATTTCTCTTCACTTCGGTGTTCATTGTCCTATTAAAATGTATGGGAATGACTATTCAAACTTCAAACACATTATTATTCCAGTTCAAGTGCTTTTGTGGGGGATAAATATGGCAGTCCAAATGCACATTTAATATTTCCCTATATATATATTTCAACTTTTCGACTTTCCACTATCTAAACCAGTCCTTTGAGCCATTTCCCACTACTTTTAAGTCCTAAGAATGTTCAATATATGTAGCAGGAAAAGCAAGATTTCCGCTAAACACATTCAGAGTTTCTGCTACTAATATAGCTGTTCGGCTAACTTCCGCTACTATTTTTGGATGCCTTCACTTCCACTGCTTATACATTCACCCAACCTCATTTTTGAAATCCTGTTTTGAATTTTTTGAATGTGCAAGTAAGACTGGACTCGGATTCTTGCTCGGATTGGACTCGGAGAGTGGTCATTTTGTGACCACAGATAGGTTGTGACTGCCGCTGCCCTAGTATTGCTGCGGTCAGGTTCTGAACTGCTGGCGAATCTGAACCAGACCCAAGGTCCAGTTCGGGGCTCGGAAATGTTGAAAAAGTGCTGAACCTGCTTGAAGCTGAACTGGACCCTAGG